AAACCGCAAGTGCATTGCTTCGATATTACATATATAGTACTACATGTGGACCGCTCTCAGATTTGTTCATTTTGTATTGATATCTTTAATTCTCTAATTTTGGTGAATATTTTTGTCATTTTTGGTAAAAAGTGATATTTTCAACTTCTTGTTAAAAACCAAAAGTTCAATTGCTTTGATATTACATATATAGATACTACATGTAGACCTTTCTCAGATTTGTTCATTTCGTGATGATATCTTCAATTCTCTAATTTTGGTGAATATTTTTGTCATTTTTGGTAAAAAGTGATATTTTTGACTTCTTGTTAAAAACCGTTAGTCCGATTGCTTTGATATTACATATATAGGTACTACATGTGGACCTCTCCCAGATTTGTTCATTTTGTGATGATATCTTCAATTCTCTAATTTTGGTGAATATTTTTGTAATTTTTGGTAAAAAGTGATATTTTCGACTTCTTGTTAAAAACCAATAGTTCAATTGCTTTGATATTACATATATAGATACTACATGTAGACCTTTCTCAGATTTGTTCATTTTGTGATGATATCTTCAATTCTCTAATTTTGGTGAATATTTTTGTCATTTTTGGTAGAAAGTGATATTTTTGACTTCTTGTTAAAAACCAAATGTTCAATTGCTTTGATATTACATATATAGATACTACATGTAGACCTTTCTCAGATTTGTTCATTTCGTGATGATATCTTCAATTCAATTTTGTCCGATTGCTTTGATACTATACATATTGTTCATTTTCTAAAGATGTCTTCAGTTCTTTAATTGAAATGTGCATTGCTAACAGCGGAGCTATCTCAGCCGATAGGCTGCTTGTTAAATAAAAAAAATTAGTTGTTTTCAAAGGATAAATCGCCCTGGTTATTTTATTTTTTTAAAAACCCTACTGTTCAATGGCCCTGGGCAAATTTACGGCAGAATCCGGTATATGAGGGTAAAATGTCTGTTGCTGTCATTAACCATGTCATTAACCATGTTATTGTTACAGTTAATCAAAAAATTTTTGTCTGATCATTTTCAAATTTGGTCCTTATTAATCACTATGCATTGTTAAACAAGTGCAATTTTCAAGTTATGAGATAAAATTAGGCTAGTGTAGGAGTGTTCAAAATGTGTCATAATAGTTTACTAGACAACAGGGCAGGTAACTTTAAAAACAATCTGGTTCATAATCAACTGGAACTCCCGCATATTGTGAGAATTCACTGAAATCATGCATAGTGTGAGAGCTCGTTAAATTATGCATCGTTCATGGATTGTTGTTGTTTATCCTTGTTACATGTTGCATGTGTCAAAACAGTCGCATCAGAACCCTACGTAAATAATTTTGACAATTATCTTACACCCGTAGGCATTTTTTGATTTTTCTAAAGAGTAACATTTTATTTATTTTTTCCAAAAATCTGCTTGACCACAGGGCTAGTAACTTGAAATTTTCACCAGCCTGACTGAATAGTTACCTGTGAGCGTGTACGAGCGAGCAGTAATTTGCAGTATTAATTGAGAAACTTGTTGGCTAGTATTTTCTTGCAAAATTTTTAGAAATGTTTATTCAATTCAATTTAATATTTACAATAAGGGACATTATGATTAATACTGTACATGCATTATTTGAAGAACATGAATAATTAATTATCATTTTTATGTAATTATGATGACTTCATAGATCATTTTGGTCAGGATTGTTTCCATCTTAATTTTAGACAGTATTTCTTTCACAAAATGTTTAGATATATTATTGCATTGTTTTAGGACTTTTAGATTCACTTTTGGCATGCAAATAAAAGATTATGCATTGTTCGTTTGTATCCAACCATCCATTTGTCATTTACTCTAGATTATCAATGGGCAAGGTTGCCGTAGGTTACACTATGTTTTTAAAAAATGCAAAACCATTTGATAGCCAGTATGGGAGTTTAGTTGTGTTTGGACTGTATTCCCAAGCTTTCTTTGATTTTAAAATGAAATTAGAACATATCTCAGACTCAAAGTTGCTTCAGAGACTGGGATATTTGCCGGCATTGTATTAATGTTGGTATTTAAGAATGCTTAGTAAATCATTTACTGCACTCAAATATTAATTTATTAAAATACTTTTATCTTTACAGTGACACCTGTGAATATTGTTGAGAAGGAAACCAAACAAGAATGTGCTAATGATGAAATGAGCAGCAATGAACATGTGAAGCCTAATGAAAATGTTGACAAAGGAGATGCAAGTGAGAAAGTATTGGGTGACAGTGAAGCAGAGATTCAGTCTTTGAATGAGGACAGTAATACAGAAACCAAAATTGTAACGCCGGAAAATAAAATGAAGCAAAATGTTGATGAAGTGATGGAGGTAGATGAAGTTCTATCAGTTAAGGCTATGGATACTGAGGATGTTGCCATGGAAAGTGATGTTGAAAGTCAGAAATACAGTGAATGTGAGAACATGGATGTTACAGAAGGAGAGATGACAAATGTGAACTTAGGGATTGTTGAGGGTAATGAAAAAGTCGGTGATAATGCAAAAAATGAAACCAGCGCAGGTGAATGTCTAAATGACCAGCAGCAATTAGTGGCAGGTAATAACCTAGTGGTGTCTGAACATCAACAGTTGACTGAAAATATCCACTCGCCATCAGACAATAGGATAAAAAATGAAAAAATCTTAGCAGATAACCAAATAAAAGATAACCAGTCAGAAGTTGAAGAAGCAGTCTCTGTAGATGACCTTTCAGAACAGAAAAATGTCCAAACGGTCTTTGAACATGAACATTCAAAACCAGAAGATAGCCAAACAGCATTTTTCGATGACCAGTCAGAAACAGTAGATGTCCAACCATTAACTGGAGATGACCCTTCAGAACCAGAAGATATCAGAACAGCATCGTTGGATGACAAGTCAGCAACAGATGACCAAATAGTCTCTGCGAAAGAACCTTCAGAACAAGAAGATATCCAATCAGCAACTTTGGATGACCAGTCTGAAACAGAGGATGTCCAACCAGTCAGTGAGGATGAACCAGAAGATATCCAATCAGAAACTTTGGATGACAAGTCTAAAGTGGAAGATGTCCAACCAGTCAGTGAAGATGAACATTCGAACCCTGAAGGTATACTGTCAGAAATTGTCTTACTATCAGATGATGAGAATCACTCTGTGTCTTGTCCTGAAGTTGATGATGGAAGTAACCAGTCAAATGAAAATGAACTGGAATCACATGCCCAACAAATAACTGATGCAGGTGGAACCATGAATGTGCAGTCAGAAACTAAAGACAGTGAGGAATGCGAGACAATAGCTGTGCAGTCAGAAAGTCAAAATAGTCAGAAAGGCAATACAACAGGTGTGCATTCAGAAGCCAAGGATAGCCAGGAAGGTGAGACACCAGGCATTCAGTCAGAAGCTGGGGATGGCCAGGATGGTAAGACACCAAGTGTTCAATCAGAAGCGGCAGATGGCCAGGAAAGTGAGACACCAGACGTGCAGTCAGAAGCCGGAGATGGCCAGGAAGGTGAGACTCGAGGCGTGCAGTCAGAAGCTGGGGATGGCCAGGAAGTCGAGACACCAGGCGTGCAGTCAGAAGCTAGGGATGGCCAGGAAGGTGAGACACCAGGTATGCAGTCAGAAGCTGGGGATGACCAGAAAGGTGAGACACCAGGTGTGCAGTCAGAAGCTGGGGACAGCCAGGAAGGCGAGACACCAGGTGTGCAGTCAGAAGCTGGGGATGGCCAGGAAGGCGAGACACCAGGCGTGCAGTCAGAAGCTGGGGATGGCCAGGAAGGTGAGACACCAGGTATGCAGTCAGAAGCTAGGGATGGCCAGGAAGGTGAGACACCAGCTATGCAGTCAGAAGCTGGGGATGACCAGAAAGGTGAGACACCAGGTGTGCAGTCAGAAGCTGGGGATGACCAGAAAGGTGAGACACCAGGTGTGCAGTCAGAAGCTGGGGATAGCCAGGAAAGTGAGACACCAGGCGTGCAGTCAGAAGCTGGGGATGGCCAGGAAGGCGAGACACCAGGTGTGCAGTCAGAAGCCAGGGATGGCCAGGAAGGTGAGACACCAGGTATGCAGTCAGAAGCTGGGGATGACCAGAAAGGTGAGACACCAGGTGTGCAGTCAGAAGCCGGGGATAGCCAGGAAAGTGAGACACCAGGCGTGCAGTCAGAAGCCGGGGATGGCCAGGAAAGTGAGACTTCATGCGTGCAGTCAGAAGCTGGGGATGGCCAGGAAGGTCAGACACCAGGTGTGCATTCAGAAGCTGGGGATGGCCAGGAAAGAGCGACACCAGGCGTGCAGTCAGAAGCTGGGGATGGCCAGGAAAGAGCGACACCAGGCGTGCAGTCAGAAGCTGGGGATGGCCAGGATGGTGAGACACCAGGTGTGCAGTCAGAAGCCGGGGATAGCCAGGACCAAAGATCAAGTAAATCTGAAGATGATATAGTTAAAGATGCAGGGAGTACCAGTGACCCACCTGTGCAAGATAACCAAGATAATGACATTGAATCAGGTACACAGCAAGTATCTGAAAATGTTAGTAGTTCTGATGTGGTTACGAAAGATGACACTCAAGATTTTGCCCAAGATGAACCCATCTTAACCGATCCTAAAGTTGACATGGAAATCCCAATGGAAGTGGATGAAGTTCCTGACAGTCCCATGGAAGTTGAAACACAGGATGGAAAGCAGTCCTGTAATAACCATGTGGAGAAAGTGAAAACTTCTAAAACTGGGATGGATTCCAAAGGTGCTGTACTTGATGATGATTTGATTGTAGTGGGAGAACGAGATAAAACCAAACCAATGGAAATCATAGATTTGATAGAAGACGAAAGTGATGAGAAAAATAAAGAAGATGGTGGCCAGCTTAATATTAGTCACAGTCGATCTAGGAATATATCAGATATCATTTCGAAAATTGTACAACAGAAACAAAGTACAGAGGTGGATAAGGTAATGCATTCATTGTAATATAATTTTGTGTGCTCTCCCTTACAGCGTAATGATCTCATAATGGTAAATAATGTTATTTTATGTGTGAACTATGGACACTTTGGTGATCCAGGCTTATCAGTGATAAAGCTAATTAATATATGTTTAAATTTTGCAGAATAAAACGGTAAACAAGACATCATGTCCAATTAAAATAAAGGAAGAGGATGAGAGTCATGTGAATGTAAGTCAAACTGTGCTACGCTGTACAAACAAGGGAAACTGAAATAATCTATATAAACTATTTTATTTCAGGAAAAAACAATGTTGATAAGAAAGTGCACAATTGAAAAAAAAATAAAGAATGCATTTAGTGATTACACATTTCATTACCATGACTACTGAAAAAAGGGGGCTTCAAATGCATGATGAAACATTAGCACAATGTCTCCTAATGATTGTCTCTCATCTCTGCAACCACAGGTGTGTGGTTTCAATAGCCCTACATTACCTGAAATTTATTGCCTAACCAAATTTAAATCAAACATTTCTAAAATTTTGAAGGGCATCAATATATTAGGTGGGCATTGAATCCCTTGCTTCCATGGCCTCTACAATTTGCAAACCCACATGTAAGCCTCAGCACACATCTAGATCGTCCAAGCTCACAACTAGTTTAATTGGTGGGTATTTCTGTTAAACGACATGTACCGTACTTGTCCAACCCGTTGCCCAGCATACTCTGCTCCAAAATCATGTTGTTTTTTTTGGGGTGGGGTGGGGGGTGGGGGACATTTAGTCATGCACTGCCTTGGTAACATGTCAATTTTCATTCAACATGTGCCAGATAAAGGGGGAAATTAAATTGTGCATTGAATTGCTTCATCATTATTGATTTTCATAACACTGAAAATTTAGGAACAAACATTTTTATTACAATATTATTTACATACTATCCTAATTAATGAAAATAGTCAAAGTCAAAAGCTTCATCATTAGTGTCTTGTTAGTACACAAAGTTTTCATGCAAAAGTTATTTCCACTATGTTTTTCTGCATCATTTGACCTGCAAGAATTTCCGAATATTGATATAATTTTTTTACAACGCAATGCTGAATTGAATTACCAATGTTTAAAATGATCTGTTGGCATTCATTTTGACGAACAAAACTGCTAAACTGAGCCTGGAATAAGTATTAAACACCTTTCACAACCGTCAAGTTGAATTGCAGTTCCACCTGTTCACACCCCATTCAAGATAGTCAAAATGGAAACAATTTATTCAGATAAGGAAAACAATGTTCACTGACCAGGTTTCATGATTTCATTGTCTAATTTTGGGCATTTCGGAATAGGTGGGCGATAAGTCAAATTAAAATAAAATCACTCAAAAGTGCTTAGTCAAGTATGGGCATTTCTAACCCACTTTTGGTTCACTCATGCCCCCCCTCCTTCTTACTGGTTTGCTGAGTGGCTTATTGCTTTAGTGTGAAACAGTAGCATTGTCATTTTAATAATCAGGCTGGTTGGATAAAAAAGAAAATTAGGAAAGGTATTATAGCGTATGCTAAATGTGTTGCCTTTTAATGTCAGCTTTTTTTGTGTTTTTCTGTTGTACAGCATAGCAAACAGACTTCCACAAGTGCATACACTGCAACAAGTATGGTCGCAACTACAACAACAACAACATCAACAACTGAAAAGCAAACAGAGTCTGCTGAAAAAAATAAAGTTGGTCAGTTGATTATTGTCACCTTTATATAGATAATTTGCAATTCCATGGAAAGATAATTAAATGCCTCATGATAGTAGGAGGCAATTACAGTTTTGTTCTTTTTTGAAGGTACATGCAGTCAGGAAATTGGGACTTGTGGATTTACTTCTATTCGTCCATCCTTTCATTTTGCATTTCTAGACTGCTCATGTTCAAACTTTAATCAGCATGCATACATTTTGAGATGCATATACATCTGTATTTGTTTTATGATCTGATTGAATATTCAAGCAGTATGTAATCTATTTTAATGCTAATAATTCCTCCAAATCAATTAATTCTGCCACTCTGTAGCTGGATCTCAGTCATGTATGGGCAGATTTTGTTGAAACATGGTACATACATACATACATTAGACAGCACATCAAATTGTATTTAAAATGCCTGACTGGTGATTATTTTAACAAATGCTGTATCTTTGACATGTTCAAACTTCACATGTACATCATACATCAAGTCACACTTGCGCATTTGTGTCGCAATCTGATTGTTGATACTTGAATGCATCTATTTTAAAGCTTAGAATCAAATAAATATTTTCTCAAAAGTTCTGATTCGGTTTTACTATTGCATGTATGGGACTTGTTGATATGTGCATGTAATAATACATAGATAATATTTTGTTCTTTACAGATGAAGATGATGTAGAAATAACTCAAATTATACATACAGGACGACGTCCACAACCATCATGCAGTCAGTGTAAACAAACAAAGACATTAACTCAGACGTTAGATTGGAACAGACAGAGATACCGATTTTGTTGTTTGTCATGCATGGATTTATTTGCAAGAAAAAATGCTCTACGAGTTGATAGGAGTTCTCATAGCACACAACCATCAACAAAAACGTGTGGCTACTGTAAAGGAGTCATAGCTACCGTAAATGCAGACAAGTTCACTAGGACCTTGTCAGATAAGGAGTTGCAGTTTTGTTCTCAAGGCTGTTTAGATGAAATGCGTCAACGTATAAAAGTGTGTGGACATTGTTCCAAGGATATTGTGAGTAATGACTCTGTTTTGGCTCAGGTTGGCACCAAGGGAGAATTCAAAGAGTTCTGTAACCAGGATTGTGTTTCACAGTTTGAAGCCAAAAGAAAGAAAAGTAAAGAAATCATGAAATGCTCAGTTTGTGAAAAGCCAGGACAGGTAAAGTCAGACAATGATAGTATTCATTGTGAATCGTGCTAAGTTAGTTAACTAACTTGAAGGAATATGTACATGTCAATTATCCACTCTGCCATAAGTGATGGCTCCTAACCATGAAATCTGCCACGCTGTCCACTCTGCCAAAAGTGATGGCTGCTAACTATGAAATCTGGCACACTGTCCACTCTGCCATAAGTGATGGCTCCTAACCATGAAATCTGGCACATTATCCACTCTGCCATAAGTGATGGCTGCTAACCATGAAATCTGCCACACCGTCCACTTGGCCATAAGTGATGGCTTCTAACCACGAAATCTGGCACACTATCCACTCTGCCATAAGTGATGGCTGCTAACCATGAAATCTGCCACGCTGTCCACTCTGCCATAAGTCACGGCTGCTAACCCTGAAATCTGGCACACTGTCCACTCTGCCATAAGTGATAGCTCCTAACCATGAAATCTGGCACATTATCCACTCTGCCATAAGTGATGGCTGCTAACCATGAAATCTGCCACACCGTCCACTTGGCCATAAGTGATGGCTTCTAACCATGAAATCTGGCACACTATCCACTCTGCCATAAGTGACAATTGCTTCTATGCTATCGATAAAGAGCCACTGCTCGAAACGTCTAGCTATTTTTAATAGTTATTTAGGACTACGATTACCAAATATTATCTTCAATATATCTGCCATAAGTGATGGCTGCTAACCATGAAATCTGCCACGCTATCCACTCTGCCATAAGTGATGGCTGCTAACCATGAAATCTGGCACACTGTCCACTCTGCCATAAGTGATAGCTCCTAACCATGAAATCTGGCACATTATCCACTCTGCCATAAGTGATGGCTGCTAACCATGAAATCTGCCACACCGTCCACTTGGCCATAAGTGATGGCTTCTAACCATGAAATCTGGCACACTATCCACTCTGCCATAAGTGACACTTGCTTCTATGCTATCGATAAAGAGCCACTGCTCGAAACGTCTAGCTATTTTTAATAGTTATTTAGGACTACGATTACCAAATATTATCTTCAATATATCTGCCATAAGTGATGGCTGCTAACCATGAAATCTGCCACGCTATCCACTCTGCCATAAGTGATGGCTGCTAACCATGAAATCTGGCACACTGTCCACTCTGCCATAAGTGATAGCTCCTAACCATGAAATCTGGCACATTATCCACTCTGCCATAAGTGATGGCTGCTAACCATGAAATCTGCCACACCGTCCACTTGGCCATAAGTGATGGCTTCTAACCATGAAATCTGGCACACTATCCACTCTGCCATAAGTGATGGCTGCTAACCATGAAATCTGCCACGCTGTCCACTCTGCCATAAGTCACGGCTGCTAACCCTGAAATCTGGCACACTGTCCACTCTGCCATAAGTGATGGCTGCTAACCATGAAATCTGCCACGCTATCCACTCTGCCATAAGTGATGGCTGCTAACCATGAAATCTGGCACACTGTCCACTCTGCCATAAGTGATAGCTCCTAACCATGAAATCTGGCACATTATCCACTCTGCCATAAGTGATGGCTGCTAACCATGAAATCTGGCACACTATCCACTCTGCCATAAGTGATGGCTGCTAACCATGAAATCTGGCACACCGTCCACTCTGCCATAAGTGATGGCTTCTAACCATGAAATATGGCACATTATCCACTCTGCCATAAGTGATGGCTGCTAACCATGAAATCTGGCACACTATCCACTCTGCCATAAGTGATGGCTTCTAACCATGAAATCTGGCACACTGTCCACTCTGCCATAAGTGATGGCTGCTAACCATGAAATCTGCCACGCTGTCCACTCTACCATAAGTGATGGCTCCTAACCATGAAATCTGGCACATTATCCACTCTGCCATAAGTGATGGCTCCTAACCATGAAATCTGGCATACTATCCACTCTGCCATAAGAGATGGCTGCTAACCATGAAATCTGGCACACTGTCCACTCTGCCATAAGTAATGGCTCCTAACCATGAAATCTGGCACATTATCCACTCTGCCATAAGTGATGGCTGCTAACCACGAAATCTGGCACACTATCCACTCTGCCATAAGTGATGGCTGCTAACCATGAAATCTGGCACACCGTCCACTCTGCCATTAAGTGATGGCTGCTAACCATGA